GTTTAGGGACTTTCCCAGGGTCTCTGGTCCATGGGATTTAAAATTATGAGTTTGGTGGTCCCTGATGTCCAAAAGGTTCACGACCTCTGCTCTAGCAGAATCTCAATATTCTATTATTATACCCTACAACAATAAGTAGTATTCCTGCAATCTTTGTAGGATCCATTTTTTGACCTAGTCTATCTCAAAAATTTGAACCTGGTGCACAAACCAATATAATTTTATTTTCTACTTATTCTTCTCCCAAAGGCTATCCTGGCAACTGTTGTTCTTTTTATATCACCATTAGAAGAGCCTCAGTGGCACAGTGGTTAGAGTGCAGTACTGCAAGCTACTCCTACTGCAATTTGGCAGATCGAATCCCACCAGGCTCAAGGCTGACTGAGCTGTCCATCCTACCAAGGTGGGTAAAATGAGGACCCAGAATTGTTGGGGGCAATATGCTGACTCTGTAAACCGCTTTGAGAGGGCTGTAAAACACTATAAAGTAGTATGTAAGTCTAAGTGCTATTGCTATTATTTTCATTTCCTAAACCCTTACAATTTATTTGAAGTTCATGAATTTAAATGTGGATTACACCTATGAGGAAATCAGTTCAATATCCAGCTATCTATAGGATGGTACAGAAATAACTTCCTTCCAATGCCCTATCTACAAATATTTAGTGTTTTTTGAACAATTTGATCAATCACATGTCAGGGGTGTTAAACTGGTGGCCAGCAGGCCGGATGTGTCATATGCAGGACACACCCATCCCAGCTCTGCAAAGGGGAAGAACATCATGATACATCACATGAGAGCAAGGTGACGCCAACAAGTTTGCTGGGTGCTGGTGAGGGTTGGCTTTTTGCCTAGGTTTGTCTGGCTGTCAGGGGGAATACATCTTCCTCCTCAGGCTCCCGTCCATTTCCCCCCTGACAGCCGAACAAACCTGAGGTTTAGAGGGGTAGAAATGCCAAAGAGGCCAGTAGGAAAGGCTGGTGATTGGCAAGGGCTCTGCGTCCACCCAGGCCCAAAAGACAGCCAAGCCTCACTGTCTTCCCCTCCAGGTGGCCCTTTGGCCAAGCATGGTGGGCCCAGAGTTGCTAGTCTCCACCCCCACCAACGACCTTACCTTCTCAGGCCAGGTGAGGAGTGGCTGGCCGGGCCTGGGAGGGGCAAGGGGCACCCACCTGCAGGCCGCTGCCCACGAAGAAGCCACCTGGGTAGCCATGCAATGCCAGCAGCAGCTCATGGATCATGTTACCATGCGGGGACTGTGACTGCATGAGCCCCTCCTTGCAGGAGCCCCAACAATGCCCCCGGCCTCCTTAGGGCAGAGCCAGCTCCAGGCACTAGACTGGCCCCCTGCAAAGCCCATAGTCTGCCAACGAGCCCAGCCGAGGCCTTGCCTGCCACCCACCTGGACTTTTGGTGACGAGATGGGGGCCTTCAGGCACTTAGCTTGACTGCCTGTTTAGTAGATCCTGCTCCTCCCTCCAAGTGCCTTGTCAGAGCTGCCTTGGGTTTTTGCCTGCATGGACGTTGCTTGCTTTGAAGGGGGCAGGGGGCGGTTAGAGGAGCGTCGAGATGCCAAAATGGCCTCAGAAGAGGCCCGCCAAGGCGAGGAGTGCTGGGGAGGGGAGGGGTGAGGGGTGGAGCCAGCAGTGGTGGAATCAGCTGGTTTGCCAAACTGGGCCCAAAGTTAACTGATTCAGCCAAACCGGCTCAATCCCATCTCTTATTGAGAGTAAGGTGGCATACGAATTTAGTATATTATTGTTATTTGGGAGAAGATCATGTAGGAAAAGAATTCACATACAGTGCAGCCATTTTTATCATGGCATTCTATATTCTCATGTTTTTCATTTCACATATGAAGGGTTATGCAGGACAGATCATAAAACAAGTTATTTCATTTTGTGAACTACATTGCTGACCTAATCATATAAGAGCTTTCTCTTGGCTTGCAAACGACCATAGGTGTACTGTATTATATCAGCAAGCAAGCAAATTTGAAAATCTACCACTTGTGAACTGAGCTTCCTTCACTAAGAAGCTATTTCAGTTTCCCAGAGGTGAAGTTTGATTTGTAGAGCTTCAAAATCATTAGTGCACTCTTCCATGACTTGGTCGCATAATATTCTATTACAGTGTACTGACAAATATTCACTCTATCTCCTTCAACATTTCTCAAAGGATTGTAATATAGGCAATTGGAGTGAAACTAATTTATTACACAGACTGGAATTTTCTTGACCTCTTCAGACTGAGTAGCTTCATGCCTTATTGATAAAAAAGACCCCCAGATTCAACATCTTTCAGTAACAGTTTTTAAAAGTCTGTTTTCTAAAAAAAAAAAAAAAAAGTATATGGAAAGTATCAATTTATAAATTTAAAAAAATATTGTAAATTTGTAAATAGTATTTTAGTTGTTGTAAGTTTTAAGTTGCTGAAAGGGCAACATTATAAGAATCCAAATTTGAGATAAGACATTAGATGTTATAGGTAACTCAAGTTTCTGGTTATTTAAAATAAGTACTGGTATGGATGAAATTAGAAGGTTACATGCTTTGAAATTATGAAAAATGAAAATCCCAATTCTTGCATGAGATAGGAAAGTTTCAGAAAAAAGGGAAAAGAGGAATGGCATTTTTCTTCTCTTTTTCCAAAATTACTCACATAGACCAAAAAAAACCAAACATATTTGGAAGTGGCACTTGGTTCCAAACCTGATCTTTAAAACCCTACAGGATAATTCCTGGAGAACATGGGGATGAGAAAATCATCCATGAAGAGCACATATACAAACCTTTTTTTAATAACTAAAAAGGACTACATCATTGCATTGCTGCAGGTAAAGGAAAATGTATTTCTAGGACTTTCTTCTTTTTTAAGGATTATATGAAAAGATACAATGCTTGAATGCTACACCATTTAGCTTCTAAAAAATAGTTCAGTTAAATGGGACAGACAAATGAGGGGGGAGAAGACAATTCTGTATTCCTCCCTAGTGAAATCACACAAGCAATATTTAATTATAATTCATGATTACTTCTCATTTTCCAGTAGTTATTGCAGTTCATTTGCTAATTAAGAAATCAATAAAATAAAACTGCCTGTGACAAAATACTGCAGTTTAATGATGAGGAAATATGATGTCGCCATCTCCCTTATGAAAAGCTTCTGAAACACCCCAAATAAAAAGGGCCTACTGTACATTATTCTGACAGTTTGGAAAGATCTAAATACTTGGATCCTGCATAAATGAAATGACATTCGAAAGCAGAGAATTCATTCTTACTGGCATTACATCTCATCCTTCCTTCATGGACCTTACAAGCCTGATCTTTTCTAATGATATTTTAGATTTTATACTGGTAAGATGGAGAATTCCAAAAATGGCCTTCACATGGATGCCTAACCTTGATGGGATTCCATTGGTTGTAACTGCCCAATTTTTCCATGGGTTTACAGGCCAAGCCTTTGTCTGTTAAATTAAAGGTTTTCAAACTTAGCAACTTTAAGTAATCAGAGATGTGCCTCAGGACAAGTTTCTAAACAGAGAGTGATACAGATCTAACCTATTATTGTGCATTAACAGCACTACTAACAGCTCCAGGGAAAATAAGATCCTCACTTTATCATACTTGCCAACTTTTACCTTTATTTTTTGATTTTCTATTGTATTATCTATTTTCTATTACAATTTCTTTGATTGTTGTGAGCCATTCAGAGTTATTAAGAGTTGGGCAGCATACAAGTTTTAACAATGGTTATTGTTATTATTACTATTATTATGCCTATCTTTTTTTTTTTTTTCAAATTAAAGTTGAGTTCTAGGCAGTGAAACGGGATAATGGTTTCAAAAAAACTTTGCTGCCATGCAAAACAGTTTTGGGAGCCATTCATAAAAATAACAGCTATCATACAGTTTGATATATACCTTTCTTCCATAAATACTATGTGATTTCCTTTCCAGGAAAAATATCTAAAGCTTTGTTAAACTTGGGGCATCTCTCGTTGGCCAATCTTTTTGTCCTATTAAACATTTTTCTATTGTTTTTGTTTAAACTATAATCAACCTCAACTAATGTTAACAGAACATTGAGAGAATTGTAATTAAAGCATCTGGAAAAAACAAGAAAAAGAAAGGTAACTTCAGCAGTCACATTAATTTCCTACATGTTTTTAAGAACTTTGTAAATAAATACAATCCTATTTAAAAAGCAAGCAAGCTAGAAATAGTTCATCAGCAATGTCACTGATGAAGCAATCTGACAATATAACCAGCAGTTATACTTTACAATAGATGTCCAAGTAGTGCTTTGAACATCTTGGACATCTTTGTGATCCATCTCTGTATTGGGGAATTAAAAAGTGGATTTCTAAGCTTTCATTTAGACCTGCTTATTATTGTCCTCTACTGAAGATTTTCCTGCATTCTAATTTTCAGTAAGCACTGATGTCTCAGAGTACAAAAATCGTAACTACATTTAAATTAAAAGGAGTCATTTTGCAAACATTATTTTTAACTTATAAGGCAATAGGATTACACTTACATATGTGAAGTGGAAGACATTAAAAAACAGTTGTCAAAACCCCTTGAAAAGAAATGGAGCAACAAAAGCAAACTCTGCATGATTCCTTTCAAGCCAACACTATACCCTTCTTTCAAATATATAGCCTTCCAGAAGGGATTCTGTCAAATTCTACATTAACAGTAATCACTTTAGCAATTGCCATCTCTAGTCCTTTATTTTGTGCCAACACTAATGAGCTTAATACTAGCAGTCTCTCTTAAAATAAACAAGTTGATTATGCCACTATAAGATCTCTGCTCAGGTAGATCAATGCACACAAATATATACAAAAGAGGCTCTGAAGAAAATAAGGATAGTGTTGCTGAATAACTATTTCCATCAAAGCTAATTGATGCAAATGATATAACTAAACCAATTCAAAATCAACCAAATTATAGTGTAAATTATTAGATATCAAATAATAAAGGTGGTCATACCAGGAAAGGAGATGCTTTGCCTCAAGCCCATGCAGTCTAGTCCTGTAGGTGTGCTCTGGGAATAGAGGTGCAACTTTAGAGGAAGAGCATCAGTGGCCACTGGAGAAGTAACTGATTTCATTTTAGCCTACAGAAAAAAAAATAGTAACACGTTTACAAAGCTGATAGTCTGAACTCCAAAAAGATTACTTTTTTAAAAAGTCTTGTCTTCAATCCAAACAATCTCAATAAAAGAGAGCAAATGAGAATGTTAAAGGAGAACAGAGAGTATTCTCTGAGGGAAAAGAGCTTTGTAGATATCAGAAATGCTAGATAAGTCATTATGAAGAACTTTAAAAGGAAAAGGCTCTTAAAATTACACTTTTGTGATAATGAGTAATGGGAAAGAATGAATTAATACTGTGTGGTCCTTGATGTTCTCCATACAATTGTTTAATATTTAATACTGATTTTAATAAAATTGTATTTATGTCATTTGTATTCTAAAGTATAAATTATATTCTCAAACAGAAATACTTTTCAATCCACTCATCATAAGTATGTACCTATGATACCATGCATCCTTTATGAGACAAGAGAGGCAATAAAGATGACCTAACTGTCAGGATAAACCCTTTCCTTTTATGGTTAGTCTCACAAAAGTGAACACAAAATTGCCATATTGTGTTAGAAACAAAGGAAGCAAGAGAACTAGTTAACAAAATCATTAAGAGGGAAGAATGAGATGCAAACAGAGAGAACAGACAAATTATCTTTAGTTCCTTACAGTGAGTTGATCTTCTGGGAAGTTACTTGATTCATTTTCTCTGTCTGACTGGGCCTCTTTCACAAAGGTCCTTTTTCGATTTCTCTCCATCCATGTATCATCAAAGCTGAAGCATTTGTACAGAGATTTGTGTCTCTTCTGCTGGACGTACTTTTTTATCTTTCCCTCCTGGATATAGAAGGGAAGGATCCAGGCCTTGTCCTCTACATTTGAATCCAAAGACCCTGGCATCTGAATAGACTTTTTTCGGTAAGGAAGACCATGCTTTTCACCTGACCTGTCTTCTGCTGAAATTTCACTTTGTTGGGAATGTTCCTATTTTACAAATAACAGGTGAAAATATCTTTAAAACATGTTTCTTTGTTGACCATTTTGGGCAGCTCACTGCAAGCAGTCATTATAAATCTGAAATATCTTATTACATTTGTCCCTTTTTAAAGTAACATCATTTATAACATCTTATAAATAAAATCTTTATTGATTCAGTGTGGATGCTGCAATCTAAATGAAACCTGGATTTGCACTCACCTGTATTAACTTCATGTAAAGCCTAGATACATGCTCATATAAGCATAGAGGAAAAATATTTCAACATAGTGTAAATAACCCTTGAACAGTTGCTCCAGGGCAGCACATGGCAGGGCTCACTTGCCATATTCTGTTTATGGTGCAGTCCCAATTCAAATGCCCCTCCCATGTGCATTACTCATAGAATTACATAGAAAATTCTAAACAGCTATTTTAACTGTTAATCAAGTAAGCCAACCAATCTGGAAGGACAGGCACCAGAAGACTTTTGACCAAGAGTTCCTTAAAACTGAAGCTGCTGCTAAGAATATACAATTAGCAAAGTTCAATTAGCTATTGTCTTAAGCATCCTTTGAATTCTCTATGAATGATAACTATTGTTGGGCCTATAATAAGGAACACCTTGCAGTATAAAACCTTGCCTCCAGAGGGCACAGTAAAGTTATATTTAGCTGTAACAGTTCAGTATCTTCCCTAGTGACAAGATCTTTGTCCATTTATCTAAACTTGCTTGGTACACTTAGATGCTTCCCTAATTTTGGAATACTGCTTTCCCCTAAGAACTATGTCCCTTTTTCCCTTCTATTATTTCAGTCAGAAATTAGATTTAAGTTCTACAAAAAGGAGTTCAACAAACTTCTATGTAATTATTATATAGATGTATATAACCATTTATATACACAAGTCTGCACTATATAGAAATCCACTTGGCCACTTAAAACTGCTATAGACAAGATTGTCTCTTCTCTGGTCACTGGGCATTGCTTTCCAGAGGCCATTGGAGCTTTCATTGCCAAAAGACCTGCCATCTGGCTTCTGCAGCAGCATCTGCCTGCAAAATGCCTGTGCAGCAATTTTCAGTGCCTTATACTGAGTCCTTATAACTATGGATTTAGCACTATTTTTGAAGAATAAACTTGTGTTTAAATACTGGATTATCATTTCTGACAGATGCTATTCCTGTGCTACACAGAAGGTCAATTTTAACTGGAAAAGAAAGCCAACTGTATGTTGCTGGCTCAGTCATCGTTGTTCTCATTGCTTCTGCTAATAAAGGGTTGGCTCCTATTCACTCCTATTTCAGCCTACAGTCTCCCTTGTGCTTGTAGCCTAATTGATATGTCATAACCTGTTAGGCAGGCACCTGGACAGCACCAAAAACTTTCTTACCCTCAGTGAGGCCTGCTGAAGCACATATCAGGAAAAATGATTGGAAGCTACTTTCCTGCTTGGTAGAAGGGGCTGTAAATTCAGAGAAAGCCACCAAGTGCTTTCTTAACTTCTACCTACATTTAAACAGAAAGAACTGTACTGGGCACCACTCTCATTACATTGGCCGGATAGGGCTCAGCCATCAGGACAGAACCATTTATTCCAGCATACCTTTCTGCCTCTCAAGAACTAATGGACAGTAGTTTAATGTTTGACCATCCCTTTGTCTTCTCTATAGCAAGGCAGGTAATAGGAACCTTCTCTGGATACTGCAAAGCGCCTCCAGATCTGAATGCATGGTTGAGGCATAATTGCACAGATGTGGCCTTATGTAGTACGTCTTTACTGAAAGTTAAAAAAAAACCACCTAACCCCTCATTAAAAGACAGTAACAGAGAAAATTATCATCATTGAATTTTAACCCAGGTATTTAAAAAGAAAAACCTGCATTTGTCTAGAAATGAAAAGAAGCACTCATTCAGCATTGTTGTCAAAGGTCACTTCTGAAAGCAAATCTATGACTACAATACCATATCCTCACAAAATTATGAAACATGAAAATGAACTAGTAAGCTCTAAATATTTTTTTTCTGAATAGTCTTATAACCAGAATATTAAATTATTGTCTCATCTTATTTCCAAATTCTCTGAAGAATTTACACAAATTAATAGTTCTGATGCCATATGTCTTTGTGAGCAAGTTTCTAAGGTTACTTCAAAACATGAAATTTATAACGCTGAGCGTGACATCCAAATTAACCCAGAATTCCACATGAGATACATAACAATTTTTTTAAAAAAAAATCCTTCTCCATACACTCAGTGCAAATACACATAATCTCCTGCAGAGCAACTCACCTCATCTCTGATTATATCACTCATTGAAGTAGTAGTGTTTAAGCTGATCTGTGACTGGCTGCTTATCCCACTGTCTTCTCTCAAATAGTCATTATCCAATGAGTGCATGGACTGCAAGAAACTAGATCTGGGTTTCAATGTCTTTGGCCTCTCAGGTGCTTCCAAACCACCATCAATAACAGAGATATTTCCAAGAGATATCAATGAAGTTGAACTTAATTTACCAGGATAATGGAAGCCCATGCGCTGATGAGCAGTTCGAGGACTCTGTGGCTTGGGACTCATAGGCCTGCATGGCATGTCTTTACGTTCATACATTGACAACTGGGGGCAAGAAGGAGTGAAATGGGGAAATGATGACTGTAGATCAATTGGAGTAATTGGAGATTTCAGCCAGAATTCTTCATACGGAATATTCCCATCATTCCCCATCATTTTCTCTTTTTCACTACAATCTGGGCTATAGGATGACTCTCTCCTCTTCCTCCTGGTGTCTATAGGTAGAAAGTCAGCAGGCCCAAAGGAATAGGAATGCCCACCTCCTGTAGATGAGCCATTAGAAATACTGTATTTAAAAAATTCTTGTCCATTTTGATACTCCTTTTTTTCCTTCAGTGTTTTTCTACTAAAGTTTCTAGAGATCCTATTTGAACAGGGATTTTGCTTCAGGCTATCTCCCTCCTTATTTTTTAGAAAAGCTTTCCAAGATTGGTGTACTTTCACTTTTTCTTTTTCATTTTTTAATGAAATTTTTGGACTCTGTTGAGCATTTTCCTTTTCCAGAATTTTAGATTCAAAAAAACTTGAAAAGGATCTATGGGCCAAGGCCAATCGGCTTCGGAATTTTTTGCTATCTATGCCTTTGTTACATTTAAAATCATTCTCTGGAGAGGATTTCTGGACTTCAGGCTCCTCAGTAAATTCATTATTGTTGTTCTCCATAAATCCTAAAGTTGTTCCTTCCCCATATTTTACTTTGGCTAACATGGGAGAAGAAGAATATGTGCCTGCATTTTCTAAGAGTGCCCGACCAGAGCTAGAAGCTTTTCTCAAACTAATTCTACTGAAAAGCCCAGCAGGTCTTTCATAGAATAAATCGTCGTCATCTGAATATTCTGCAAGGCATTGATCCTTGTTTTGCAAAGTAGGACAGGATGACTTGAGGTCTTTCCAATTATCTTCTACTTCATCTGCTTTATCACTATCAAATGTTACTTCCTTAGTTTTCATGTTATCTTGATTGTCAGGAGATGTTAGCTTAGATTTCTTGAAGGATGCCATCTTGGGAAAAGCTAAAAATTTAGAATACCTAGCAGACTTTTCTATGGCACCCACTTTGTTGATTCTCTGCACTGCCTTATAGAAACTATTGTTACTACCAAAAAAGTTAATTATATTATTCTCCATGTCTTCATTATTTGCACTTCCCATGCTGATATTATCTAGGCCACTGATGCTATTATCTTGGGTGTCAGTTTTCACTGAAGTGTCACAGATATCTGGATTCACATTCATGTCATAGTTTTTACTAATGCACTTTGAATTTTCTGTTGAAAAAACTTTATCTGATTCTGATTTGTGAGAAAGGGCAATTTCCTCATGTAATATATCACAGATTTTGGAGTCTTTCTCCCCAATAATTTGCTTAGCACTGATTTTATTTCCTTGAAGATGAGTCTCATCATCATCAACAACAACATCTTGGCACAATATATTTATACTATTTATTTCCTGTGTTCTTGCAATATTTACACAAACATCCTGTTCTGCATTTGTAGTAATAGATTCATCCATTGCTGTATAGCCGCGAGTTTGAGATTCATGGTTTGTTATTTGTACTGTCTCTAAAACAGAATCACCATTTAACTGACATGGTTTTCTTAGTGATGTACCTCTATTTGCTGCAGGCAGGGCCAAGGACAAAATATCTATGCACTCCTCTTCTTTCCAAGTTTGCACAGTACTTTCTAAAAGTAAATGAGTTGTGGATGTATTGTTCACCAAACTAGTTTCCGTAGATTTTGCAGAGATTGGCAAAGATAGTGAGTCCGCTTCACAATGTCTGTTTCTTGAACTTTCCTCAGGAGCCATCTTAACTAGGAATTCTTCTTTATTGTATGACAACATCTGCACAGAAAACATGTCATTTGTACAATTGGACTTTCTGTGTGGAGATTCTTCTGATTTCGTAGCATTCGTGATGGTGATGAGATGAGAGTTTGAATTCTCATGCTCTAGTGTTTCACTAAATTTAGCCAAAGAGTTCTCAACTTCAACCTTTGTCTGCAATAGTTCTTGACCAGGGATTTCCATCAATAAAGCTTTTAACTCAGAAATGTTAGCTGATTTTTCCTTCTGGCATATATAATGTGGTATTAGTGCTACTTCAAAAGCATCAACATTTTCACCATTATTACAGTTGCAAGCCTTCTTTTCTATATCATTGAGATGATTCAAAGGATATCTTAATATATTGGATGTACTGGATTCCTGTTGTCTAAAATCTTTTCCATTTGATGTCAGAATCTCACAGCCTACATTTGGCCCATATTTGCTTTTCACTTCAGATGCTCTGAGAAACACTTCACGGTTTTGAGTTTTGATACATTTGCTTTCCTTATTCACATCTGCATTAATAATGGAAGCATGAACAACACAAGTATTATCATATTTATTTGCCATATTGCATTTATCCATGTATCTTTCTGAGATGTGAACATCACAGATGTGAGATTCAGAACTAATGTGATTTGGAGACAATCCTTTCATTTCTATCTGATCCTTTGATTTCAGATGTTTTTTTAATACTACATTGGCATTTACATGTGTTGATATACATCCTGTATTTGAAAAATTCTTATTTTTAGAATTGTTTTCTGAGGAATTTGGCAGCTGGGACAATACCAAAGACTGACATTCAGGTATATCTGTTCCTCTTGTTGTAAGGCCACAGAGCTGGTATTTGTTGGTCCCATGGAAGTTTTCTGTTTGCTTCTGTACGTTTTTATTTGAAATCAAGTGAGGAGTAAGAAATAACTCTTTAATATTTGTGTCTTTTGCCACTTTTAAGAATGTTTTTGAACAGTCTATGTTTTCCTTAATATGAACATGATCTGATTCTTTTAGGGGCAATGTGGAGCATGATTGGCTTAATTTATCTGCCAGACAAAGGCAATCATTGATATGTTCTCTGATATCTTGACCATTTATATTTCCAGGAGAACTATGCCATGATTTCATTGCTAAATTTTCTGGGTTTGTGGAAGGCACCAAAAACGTAGATTTAAAATCTGTGAGTTTCTGCTTTCTGCCACACAATTTTTTTTCTACAGTTTTTTGACTGTCAAAAATATCCTTCTGACTATACTCGGTATTAAATATACAATCTTTTTTATACCTCATTTTGGAAGATTCATTACATCTTTTCCAACTTCCATTTGTTTCTAAATGAATATTAGGCAAACTGTTTCTGGAAACTGTTTCTATGCAGGAACAGCAAGTTTCAGAAAAATTCAAAGAGCTTTCAGAGTTTGTTCTGAGATTAACCAACATTACTGCTTCTGGGCTCATTCTCTCTTTGCTACTGGTACCTTTAATTTGATCTTCTGCATGAGTATCTCTGTTTGCAGATTTTGCCCCCACTTTTAACAAAGCTTCAGTCTGTAACACAAAATCATTTTTATTAGCCTTTGACCCTGTGGAGGTAATACTGTAAGATAATACCTGCTCCTTTCCTTTGCTGTCTTCAGTTTTGGATTCTGGTGCTAATAACTCCAACGGACATTTGCTTGTTGCTACATGTAAGACTGAAGGGAATTCCACACTTTCCTTCTGAATAAATCCAAACTCTTTTGTGAAACACTTGGGAGGAGACCTATCTCCTTTTGTTTTGGAATGCTTATACCATGATTCTTCTATTTCTGAAGAAAGATTGGGTTCTCTAGTGACATCACTAGCAATGGACTCTGAGTCTGACACACTTTCATAAGGCTCTGTCTTGATATCTGACAGTGATTCACTTTGATGTGACTGAGTTTCAAAGTAATCTTCATCTGTTTCTTGGCCTGATCCACACATCTCCAGCTCTGGTGTATCTGGGATTGAAGAATTCTGGTCTTCTTCGATCTCTCCTTCACTTGTGCAGTTGTCAGCTGGCTCTGAGGCCTGTAAAAAGATGAGAAATTAATCAGCAATAGAGTCTTGAACTAAGAAGATTAATTTATAACAGGTATGGTTCCCATTGCTCTCCCCGGAATTGAAAGAGAAGAGAGAATTTGATACATCAAATGCAAAAATTTGAGTTGACATTTAAATATCTTTAAGTTGCTAAGATTGAGAAACAATGCTGTAATTGCCCATAAGAGCACATTGTACAATGCCATAGGTAGCAATTTTGTGGACATTGTACCATATTGTGCAAGAGCTAAACCACATCTTCCAAATAATTTTCAAATCTGCTTTATTATCTGGTGGATTTTTAATGGTCATTACAATGTTTTATAACCTATACAATTTATAAGTAGAGTGCTCTGTGTGCTTTGGTAAAAATATTTTTTTTCATATTTGAAGATAATTCATCCTTTTACTTTTATTTTAAGCAATTATCTTTGTTACAGTTTTTTTAATGATAGAAATTTTTAGTTACGCGAAAGGGAAATCTGTCCCACCCCACTCGGTTGGTATTCAAACTGTACTGATAGTCAGTGTATACTAAATCATATTTAGTATTAAATATCACCTGTTCCAACTAAATAACAGTTCATTTCCCCAAAATATGGCTGTGTAAGGTTTAGTGGCTCCCTCTACTGGACAATTCTAAATATGTGTACATTTGTTAGCTTTTGCATTAAGTATTTGTCAAAAAATTTAAAACTACATTTTATATATGGAGTTTTTAATTGTGTATAGGTGCTTGATGCTTTATTTAATATTAGAAATATATTTAATTTGTTTGATATTTTAACTACATAATAATTCATGACAAATAACTACATAACTACATAATAATTCATGACAAATAAATTAATAGAAATGGCCAAAACTACAATAGTGGTCATTAATAATTGGTATGTTTGGGTCTTTTTCTAGAAAAATATACTCTGTCTTCTGTCAAGGATATGTCTTTTCCAATACAAGAATCAAGCAAAATATATTCACACTGAATTTATATAACTTTCTTTTATTTCACCATTATGACCCAATTTTTAAACAATAAATTATGCTTAAAATTATGGTTTAATTGTAGCTACATTATACTGCCTCCGCCTTCCTGGAAGCTGAGATCAAGATAACTCAGATAGGGTTTAATCAGATGACAGAATTACAGGAGGTGTGAAGATTAAAGATAAGTCTCAGCTACTGAAAGAAATATAATAGCCTAACTCTATCTAAACCTCTAGAGCAGGGGTCAAGACCCACAGGCCATGGGGGGTTTAGATCTGGCCCATGGGGCCACCCTAGAAACAGCAAAGGACAGGCCCATGGTGCCTCTGCCAGTGAAAATGGAGCTTGGGAGGGCCGGGCATGTCCCCCAAGCTGTTTTCGGCTGCGATGGCCTCCTGCAGTCCTCTGCCATATTGGCCCTGCAATTCCATTTTCGCCTCCTGCAGTCCTCTGCCATATGTGGCCCTCCCAAGTTCCATTTTCACTGGCAGAGGGCTGCAGGAGGATCTCCCAGCCCCGCCCAGGTTGCCACAGATGCCCCCAATATGAATGATGTTGAGCTGGCCAGGCCCACCCTGGCCACACACACCCAGCCCCCAAAGACAAACACAACCCTGATGCGGCCCTCAATGAAATCGAATTTGACACCCCTGCTTTAAAGACTGCTAAACAAAGACTCATAGCACTAGCTACCAAGCTAAGGAGGTACATTAGAGAAGCAAAGGCAAAAGGATAGATGCTTGTTCTCCAAAGGGCCATCCAACTGAAAAGCTATAACAAAGCAACAACAAAGCTCAGCAACAGAAGAAAGTGAACAGTATTGGAAGAACATATGGAAGAAACAGTCCACATAACATGCTGCAAAGTAGCAGAGAAGAGACCACTGAAATATCCTAGAACATGAAGCAATCACCATCACAGTAGCAGACATCCAGCAGCAGTTTAATAACATGAAGAGTATCTGGCCCAGACATGATCCACACCTACAGGCTAAAGAATGCCTAGCAGCTAAGAGGAACCAGCTGCAGGCTCCCACCCAGACTAGCTAACACAAGGAAGAATAGTACTGATCATGAAAGACCCCTACAAGGAAACAACCAGCCAACAACCCTACAAGGATTCAACCAGCCAACAACCTGCTTCCCCAAAACATGGAAAGTCATAACAAGCATCATAGCAACCAGCTAAAGGAACATATGGGCCACTACATGAGCACAGCTCAGAAAGGCATTGGTAATAACACCAGAGCCACAAAACACCAGTTGCACACAGATAGAGCAGTTGCTCAAGACTCAAACTCTAGACCAACCAATCTGAGCAAAGCCGGAGTGATGACAGCAAAGCCTATGACTCAATGCTATATGCATAGATTTGTGCTTACCAGGCACTACTCAAAGTCTATAGAATGTTAAGGTCTTTCTTCAGTGGGTTATAGAAGACAATACTGGAAGTCAACTCAAGACAACTCACATAAGTAGCCATCAAGTGCAACATATACCAAGTTAATACACTGCTACTGCTGATGCTCTGCATAGCTTGAATCCCCTTAGCCAGATAATCACAAGGATGGGTATGGGTACAAGTTTAGGAGTGGAACTTGCCGTTCAGCCAATTTTTCCACATGGATGACACCAAGTGTATGCTAAGAGTAAATGAGACATCAACTTGCTGATCTACTTGACACAAATCTACAGTGAGGACTTTAGGATGTCATTCAGACTGGAGAAGTGTAGCCAGAGGACAGTCAAGTGAGAGAAGATAGTTATGATGGATGGGGTAGACAACAGTAGGCAATACAGCAGACACACACAGCAGATACAAATATCCCAGAATCCCATAGTTACACAGGAACATAATGAGGAGACAAGGAAAACAACAACATCCAAATACCACCAAAGGATAAGACAGGTCCTGAAGAGACAAATCAATGGGAAAACAAGATCCATGCCTCAACATGTTCTTAAACTGTCAGTAATCACATACTCTGCCCATGAAGTGAGCTGGCCAAAGGACATAGAAGCTGCCAATGTGAATATCAGAAGCTCCTCACAATGTACAGAGGTTTCCACCCAAATTCAACACATAGCTGAGGTGGCAGACATTTGAAAATCCTATCAGTGGCTGGAAAAGCCTGGCTTAAAAGACAGCATTGAGACGCTGATCATAGCGCCATAAGAACAGGCACTAAGCACCAGATCTAAAGAAGCAGAGGTCTACCACACGAGACAGGAACTAAGATGTAGACTATGCAGAGGAGACAAACCAACACATAGTGCTATGGTGTAAGATGTAGACAGAAACAGTATACACTGAATGGCACAACCTAAATAGTTGACATTGTGTGCAGGAAAATCTGCACAGTATATGAGCTAGACCCTCCCACATCCAGATGGGAGATTCTACACAAGGTTGTGTAGAATAACAGGACTGAGACCCTATGATACTTCCAGATCCAGATAGACAGGCAGGTACTAGCCAATCAACCTGACATAATGGTTGCAGATGAGGACCAGAAAGAAAGGTGGTAATAGATGTAGCAATGCCAAGTGACAACAACATCAAGAAGGAAGAGCATGAAAAGCTGTAGAAGTAACAGGGCCTAAAATAGGAACTAGAGATGATAGTGGCCTCAATGATAGTAGGAATAAGTGGTTCTAATAGTGGTAGGAATACTCAGGGCTGTGACTCCAAAGCTAGGAAAGTGGCTCCAATAGATCCCAAGAACAACATCAGTGCTCCCTGACCAGAACAGTACATTATTAGGAACAGCTAAAATATTGTGCAGAACCCTTAAATTCCCAGGTCTCTAGTACATAGAGGACCTGAGATTGAAGTACATACATACTAGGGGTGAGAAGGATTTTCCCCTTTTTAAATGTACTTCTCTATTAGATTTCTGTATTATTCATTCTTGTTTGATATAAGCTTTAATAAGCAATCATCATAAACTTTTTGCCCTTAAACCACTTGTGACTTGGTCACTGTGAAGAGAATTGCCCTGTGGAATTCTGACAGAACTAAGGCTGCAAGAAAATATTCATTTCAGCCAGGAGCAAAACTCATAGTGTTCTTTTTTTAAATTTTTTAAAAATAAAGTTTATTTAAGTTTCATATATTTAAAACATTTAAAACAAACAAACATATAAATATATATACATATATACATTTTGCAGCAGATATTGAGCATTGGTTACACTTTTCTTTTCTTTTTTTCTTTTACCCCATAACATTGACGTGATCTACCTTGTTACAATACCTTCCTCGTTCTTTTAATGTTTTAATTTCAGAGAATACGTTATGATTAAATGTACGTCCTCCATAGTTTCATAACTTATTCAGTTGTCAAATGTTGCTTTTTCTTTAACCATTCATACCAACAATTCCAAACTTTATAGTATTCACTATCTTTGTTGTTTTTTAGTAATTTGGTTAGGCTATCCATCTCTGCACACTCATGAATTTTTTAATGACCATCTCTTCTGAAGGGACAATAGACAGTTTCAAATTTTGTGCATAGCTTATTCTGGCTGCCGTTATAATGTGCAAGATTAAATATTGATTTTTTTTTCTATTTTTGAATCTATCATACCCAGCAAAAAGGTTTTGGGTTCAAGTTTTACATCTTGTTTAGTTATATTTAGAATCCAATTTTTAATATTTCTCCAAAACTTCTGGGCATGTGGACATGACCACCACAGATGAAAGTATGTTCTCTGAACCCAGTTACACTCCCAACAATTTGGGGGGAGGTTCGGAAACATCTTAGCCAGTCTCACGGGTAGCAAGTGCCAACGATATACCATTTTATACAGATTCTTTGTACAAGGCTGACATAGTTAATTTGTAATTTATTTCCCAAATGTGTTCCCACTTGTCTAATTCAATACTGTGGCCCACATTTTTTGCCCAAATTATCATACATTCCTTGACTATTTCTTCTTTTAATTTGTAATCCAAAAGATATTTATATATTTTACTAATCAACTTCCTTTCCTCTCCAT